TCACAGAATTCCCAGTTGAAGATACAGAATTTAAAGACAGCAGAAATTCAATTTATGGCAATAAATTCAGAAAAAAAACAACCCACACCTCAATTTAATATGTCATTTACTGAAATTTGGAGTTGGGACCAAACCCAATCTCATGTGCCTGTACTTTGGTGATGAGTCAAAAAATCAGCTTGTGTTGTTTATAGCCAAAAATACCATGGAATAACTTTTCTGGGTGAGAAACACATCACTGTTTAATTTGGATTTTTTCCCTTCTTGCCTGATGCTGAATACATAAGAGTTATTTGGAGACCAGCTTTTAATTTTCTAGCACAGTAATTTTTGTGTCTTATTGAACTCCACACATTAACGTGGTAGTTGGCTGATCCTGTTGACCCCATTTCAAATCCAGCCAGAGTCAGTCTAAATATTTATCTGCTTTTTGCAGTTTCCTTTTACGCATCCACTGGATTTTTCTGTTCACAGGGAAAATATTTCTTCCATCCCAGAAGCAGACACAACTTTCTGACATAAGATGGGGCTGCAGCCTCCTCTTTTAATGAAAAGACAGGATCCAATTTGATATTTAATTGCAGGTGCACAAGCTGGGAACCCTCTGTGCTTCAGTCCTGCCAGGATTTCTGGCACATCCATTATCTTGGATCAGATACCCTGCAACTCGTTATTCCCAGGGCTGCAAAACTGCAGCTCCAGGAGCCATCCCTAAACGTCTCCACTTCCCACTGATGCTCTCCTGACTGACAACTCTCCACACCAGTCCTCTCCCTCAGGCAGGAAACACTCCCAAGTTTGCTGCAAGCAAGAGGGAATTGTTGAAAAAAAAGCCAAAATGATTGGCTGCTGAAGTGTGAAAGATTTTTACTGTAAAACAATCAAGGTGTCATTTTCAAATAACAAACCAGTACTTCAGAATATATTATAAATTCAATAAAAGACTACTAGAAATTAAAAAAATAGTTTTTCCAGTGTCAGCAATGAATGCAAGTCATTCACACAGCTTTTCCTCCTAACTTCTCCCTACAGTTTTATTTTAAAAACCTCAGGAAACCTCGTTTCAACATTTTAGGAGTGGGAATTAGGAATCAGAGCACAATAAAGCACCAAACCTAAGTCGAGCTCACCTCCATTTATTTCATATCAGATACAACAACCCCGCAAGCCAACAATTTAGAAGCAAGTTTTGGAAAGTAAGACAAGGTCTATTTGTAAACAATTACTAAACCCAGCCTAATTATGTAATTGTTGCCACAGTTCTCAGGAATGCAATCTGTCTTCCCAGACCTTTTTCCTCAAACTGTATCAAGCACTAAGAAGTTCTCAGTGTCCTCTTTCAAGCTAAACAAACCACACCAAAATGCTCTCAGAGCACAGTTTTTAATGACAGAACGATTCAGGCTCAGTGATTTTTCTATTTTCCTGTGATTAAAATATTCTGTTGAACCACCCAGAAGTCGAGGAGTTGGGGAGATGCCGTTTTTCCTAATCCTGACACACAAGGCAAAGAGCCAAAAAGCTGCCTCCTCCAGGCTCCAGAAGGTCAAACAAGAATAAATGGGATAAATGCAGCCAAGGATCAGCCTTGAAATTTGGAAGTAGAAGATGTCAATCATATTATAGTACCCACAAAAAAACCTCCCATTGCATGTCTTCAGCAGGTACAGGGGCCTCACCTTTCCTCCCAAAACATCCTGATTAAGGCACTGGACACTCCAATTCCCAGGGCTGCAGAATCCTGGATCTGAAATCCAGCAAAGCAAATTCCTGGATACTTTAGCAGGGCTGCTCTGCTTCACGTTGGCAGCGGTGCCTGCAGTATCAGCCACTTCTCACTCTCCCTCATTCCCTTATTTGACTTGGCTGGCCCCAGCTGAGATATGGGGAATCACAGCTTGTCAGCCCAGTCCTCACTCTCACACACATCCCCAGAGTCAAGAAAACTCACAATTATTACTGCTATTCCTCTACAGAGTAAGAATAAAACATGCCTGTTATGGAAATAACCTGTTCAGCATTAATTAATACACAGTAGATTGATGTTTTCTCCTTCTAACACATCTAGGAGCTTGAAAATGTTTTTTTGGCTAGACAGAGAGGAATCTTTTGTGTTTAAAAATAGCCCAAAAAGAAAAATACTCTGATTCCTCAGCACTTAAGGCTGTTTAACAGTGATTGATAAAGCCCAGCAACCCAGCAGGACACCTTTCTGTTATTTCCAAGCTCTTAAAAACCAAAACTCTTTCAGAAGCAGCTTTTTTTTGGTGCATTCCCTTCCTCCAGTTTTTACAATCCGTTGTCATCACTTGTCCCAGACACTTGGAGAGCAGTGACACGGATTCAAAAAAGAGCAGCCACGTAAATTTAGGTGTTCAAAGTGAAATTTTGGCTGGAAAGGACCAACACATGCTCACAGGGCTGTTTAGTATCTTTAGTGTGGGATTTTCAAGACTTATTCTGTGCCTCTATTCCATAGTCCTTTCTACACCATATAACAACTGACAGTAGAAAATATTGCCCAAAACAGGTGTTATTTCAACCATTCAAAATTCCTTCAAAGACTATCCAAGTGCAACACTCCACTTTAAACTTTACACTCCACTAATTGGTGTAAATCTCCAAATTCTGATCTTTTAACAGTTACATTTCAAGGTTTCCTCCTCCTCCTCCTAAGTGTTGCTTTAACACCGGTAGACAAATATCCATATTTAAACTATATTGTAACAAATACATTTTTTCTCTGCTTATTTTCTCAATAACTTCTTAAAAACAAACAGAAAGAACCATATTTTAAGGATGAATAAATAAGTCATCATTATTATTACCATACAGCGTTCTTATACCCCACAGATGAGGGTAAAAAGCCAAATCATTTCCATGGAGAAGGAAAAGAGCTAATAATACACTTTTCAGCACTTACCATAAACACAATTTTCCTTCAGTAATGGAGAAAAGCAGCAGATTTCAGAGAACATAATGGAAAGCAATTTTCAAATCTGTTTTTAAATAGGAGTGATGTACACAGATACTTTCATTTGCAATCACTCCATGTAAAAAAGCAGATCCCACTTCCCCAGCTCATCTCAGTTGTACTTTGCCATACAAAGGCCAGAAACATTCCCAGTGGAAGTGCAAAACATTTGTCTTCTCTGTCCCAGGTTCACAATTAAAGCAAATGATGGATTTTTGGAATCATGTCTTTGTGAAACCACCCGAAAGGGATATTCCCTTCCCATTTGCTTTCAGATTTAACCAGGGATCTCACTGAATAAAAAGGGAATTTCCAAAGACCATCCCTGTTGCCAGTGAAGAAAAGAAGTGGAACAGGAGTTCATGTAGCTGCAGGAAGAGCTGGAGGCCAGGTGCAACTAAAACTAGTTCTAACCCACCCAAAACAGTCAGTTATAGATGGGTGAAGTGGTAGAAAAGGGCAACAAAAGTAAAAATGTCAGGAAAAATAAATCTCAGTGGCTACAGAAAAAGTTTTTTAAATCTAGAATTGATCTGTGAACATGCACAGTTCAAAAATTAAAGCAACTCTGGACTAGTTTCAAGTGTTCTCACCCAATTTCTGTTTCAGTTGTACCAATGATTGCTGTATTTGGAGAAAGAAAAATCACACAACCTGAATAAAATGGCTCTGCATGGGTACTCACCAAGGAGCAATCAGAGTACAGGGACAGACCTCTTCAAATAAGGAGAGCAGATAATTCAAAATACACACCCCTGGCTGGAACAGGACAAGAAACACAAGGATGAGCAAACAGGCAGAGTCTGGAAACACTAAAGCACCACAAAAGCAAACACAGGAGGGCACGGTTTTTGTTCAAAGTTTGGGTTTCTACAATGACCTTGGCTGCTGGGTGGTTTAGTTGCAGTAGCAAAATAAAAAACAAAACAGGAAATTCCGCAGTTGTCGGAATCAAAAATTGGACAGGAAGGGAAATGACAGAAAATCGAATGATTTTGGCAGAAAGTCAAGTAGAGAAATCGAGCCCAGTTGATGTTTTCGTGATTTCCTTTTAAAATTCTCTTTGAGAGATTTTTCTTATTGCTATTTTATTTCAACAGTTTGTTGGGGGAACATCCTGCATTTACATATTTTGGCATAACACTTGGGCTTTTATCACTTAAGAGCAGTTGCTGATACTGTGTCAGTAGTTGTGTTTCAGCACTTGGTAAGTTAAAAACTTCCAAATCTCAGTGAATTCCATCCACACCGAATCAGCGGCAACATCCACCAACCCGAATTATTAACCTGAATTAATTTCATTTTGTGATCATGCTGATGATAATAAGCCAGCAAAGGCACTGAAAAACATCAAAGTAAAAGGAATCATCTCTGAATAATGAGGCCTCTTCCCATGACCAACTGTTGATGTTTCCTTGGGGACTGGGCAGGTGGAAGCCTAATTTGGTTGCATTTTTTGTGTGCAGTGACTTCAAAGAGGAACAACGGGACCTAAAACAGGGAGCACAGGAGGATCAATACCTGTGGAAAGCAGTATTTGTGGATTTAAATGTAACAGGCAATAATGTAGCAGAATATTTGATGGATGGCAAGACAAAATATGACTGAGAAAATGTCCTGAGCTCCTCTGTGGTGTGGAACTTGCTCAGTGCTTTAAGCACAAGCCTGAAGAACGTGATGAACATCTGCCTGGTTTTCCAGGTCTTAGCACTTACCACAGGGTTGGCTGCACATTCAATACATCCAAAAATGCTGTTCAGTGTGAGTTTTCCAAGAAATGAATTCCATGATTGTTACTTTTTGAGCAGAGTGACCCCAGCACCAGGGAATTGTGGTTTGTTTTTTTTATCCCTGCCACTGAGACAGACAAGAGAAAACAAAAAACCTGTTTCTCTGTATGCAAAAGAGGAGCAGGTAGGTCTAAAACGTGGCAAACCCACAAAGGCTTATCTGCAGCTAAAACATGAGATGAAGTTAAAGAGGAAAAAAACAAGTGGAAGAAATGGGAATGTTCCTGTTTGAAGGAGTTCTGGTGCCTCTGGTTTTCACCTGCCAGCTCCAGCTGTGCACAGCAATCACACACTCTCTGCTCACAGCTCGGCCCCATTGTCTCAGGGGGGCTTTTGTTTAGTCTGTGCTACGTGGCTGTGTTTGAAAATAATAATAAAAGAGACCTCTGCGTTATCAGAACTCGCGCCAAGCAACCATAAGGAATTTTGATGGCTCTTTTATTCACACGAGGCTTTAATCTGCAACAATTACCTTCCTCCAGCCTGAGTGTGTTCCCTCTTTGTCACTGACAGGGAATATAAAAGCCAGGATAACTGAGATTTTGGCTACAGGCCACTTGGATACAACCTTTTCCCTGCAATGTTTAAAGCATTGGCTACTCCTGAGGTTCAATCCTCAGTCCCTCACTTGGGCAAAATGCTTGTGGATCTGGAATTTTTTTTCCCAATGGATTGATTGGCCCATTTCTTGCTGCTCCCTTGATTTCCCAGGCAACGGGATCATATGGAGCTGACTCCACACACACCTTCAGGAGATCAACCAAAAATAGGGAGAATTAGTTTTTATTTCTATATTTCTTTCACTTCAAGACCCAGGAATATCAGGGACCATGTAGAGTATCTGGAACAGACTTACCATGCTCCAAATAATGCAGGATTCTTTGCAAAAACCTTTTTCCTATAAAAGAAGTCCCTGTGTTTGTGCCCACCACTGGACTCACTGCTAGAATTATTCTTTAAACAAGGTGTCACTTTATTTACTGTGTTGGTGGTGACTTCTCAGGGTTTTAGGTTCTTACTAGTTTCCAACTGCATAAATAAATTAGCATGGAAGGAACTGCAGCTTTAATATGAACTCTTAATACTTTTAGGCTAATAACAATGAAACCCCTCACAAATTTGGTAATATTTACCAAGAGTTATCATCTCTGGCCACACTACAATTCATCAAAACTCTGTAATTAATCACCTTGATGGAGATGAATCTGGCAAATGTGTGAACTGTCAGACACACCCACAGACACCTGAAAGGGAAGTTCTGCTGGTATTTTCTTTACTCCTATAAACAATCTTTCATTTCAAGTGTTTAACTTCTTGCTAAACACCTGTAAATGTAAGATAGTGCAATAATGGAGCAGTGAGCAAATTGTAAATCAGAGCCTTCAGTTTTCCTCATCAGCAGTGAGCTGTCTTGTTCAAGTCATGGCAAACATAAAAGGTCACCTCCTAAAAAAAAAAATCCGTCAAAAATTTAAATTAAAGAAACATGATCCCTACAGTGAATAAAATGAGCTGTCATCGTTCTAAACATAACTCAGGTTCACATTTATCACAGCCAGATTTCACTTTTTTTCCTGCAAATAATTTATTTTGGTGCTCAGAAACTCCAAATGCCGTTAAATAAAGGCAGGGAGTCTCCCTGCACGGCATCCTAAATGAATTTGAGAGCTCCTCCACCATCTAAAGCAGTTTTCTTGTCAGTCTTGATAAAAAGAGCAGGGCCGGAGAGTGGTACTCAAATTACAAACATAGTATGTGCTTCCTCCTCAGGATCCTGGAGACCAGGGGAAGTAAACACTGAATTACTGAGCTGAAAGTGAGACAAGTTCTAACAGCCTCCAGCTCTTCAGTTAAAGAGGGAGAGTCAATGGCATAAAGCACTTGAATCCACCACTTTCAGCAGGGCTTGTTTTATGTGGCACAAAGAGACTTGGATGTGGGAAAACATCCTAAATATGAAGCAGTTCTCAAAACTCTGAGGTGTCTGTGCTTGAACACATCTCAAAGTGTGACCAGTGAATGCCACTTTTACTTGGGCCTGGGACAAAAATCAAGCAGGAGAAAAAAAAGGTTCTTTTTAAAGAAGGGATGTCAAGGTTTGAACTCTGAAATAGCCAGTGTGAGATCCCACACTCACCAGGCTTTAAAACAGTCCCCCAATTCTAAATTGCAGCATTAAAGTTTAGTACACTCCACAATGTATTAATATACTTTTTTTGTTTTTGCAAACACAATAAATTAAATCTCTGGTTAGTATTTTTTCCATGGAGAAACAAGGATGCTCAGCACCTGAGTGAGGAACTCTTGTACCTCATAACCTTATATCATATAACAGAAGGACCTGACCTCCACGTGACCATTTAAACAAATATCCTTGCTTACAGGTGCAGTCTCTGGAACACCAGTGGAATTTCTTATGTGAATATGTCCCTTTAACTGGTGTTTAAGTAAAAGACATTAGAAATGGGAAATATTAAAACATTCAAATGCAGTTCTGGTCACAGTAAGAAGCGCTTAAGTTGGAAAAACCACACTGACTCCAAGTGTATTCTTCAGAGCGGTGAATGATCACAAATATGCACCACTGGGTGTGACTGCTCATAATTCTTTTGTTTTGGTTTGTCCTTGGCTGTTCAGGGCAAAAAACACTCTAATATTCTGTGCCCTTAGTCATCTCAGAGGTGACCTATCTGTTACAACAAGAAAACTCCAGCCCTGCAAAAACGGGGACTGGTAAAACAACCTGGAGTGGACTGACAGCTCATGTTATAAAATATGTTTATAAACAACATGTGCTCCAGTTCTCAACGTGAAAAGGAAATTTCTCATTAGGTTTGCTGGCCAAGTTTCAGAATCTCAGAGAAAGCAAACCATTAAGCAGTTAATACAGTCATGTCTATGTATAATGGACACCTCATGCCACCAGTGTTTTTTTCCCCCTCCACTGGACTTTATTCCCTTGTATCCTTTTCCCTGTTGTTTGAAAAGAACTAAACCAGAAGGATTTAGAGGTGATGTGCACATAAATTCACTGTATCTCACCACAGACTTGTGTATAAATGAAGAGCTAACAACAAACCCCACCTATTTGGTCAAAAATAACAGCACTTGAGGACTGTGAGTTAAGGTTTGTTTGAACTAAGGTGGTAGTTGGTGACACCTGAAAACACTTTTTTTCTTCTCCTGGCTGAGATGCAACCAATTGTGTCAGAACTGTGCTGCAGTCCCAGTCAAGCAAGAGACCAAAATAAATGAACTGCAGCATAATATGAACAAGCAGCAACATTTAAAGCTGGGTGGTAAAACCTTAGAACAGATCATTTACCGGAGCAGGAGGATCCAAGAGGCTGATCCATCCCACAAGAAATACATGGAATCACACAATTGCCTCAAAACTCACTTTATCTCCTGGGTCACAACGTTATTTTGATGTTTAAGCAGCAGACAACCCCTTCACCTACTTCAAAAGTGCCCAGTGAAGCACGTGTTCCAGAGAGGAGAAGAGAGAGAAAATCCCAAGGCTGCTTTACCTGAAAAAAATGGATGTGGCCAAAGGCAGCACAAGCAAAAATAAGGCCCCACATCCCACGTGCTCCAAGAGCATTCCCAGAACCACAGCTCCAGCCTTGTGTGTTGTTACAGCTCATCCCAAGCAGCAGGATGCTACTTGCCTTCCTCACTGCTGCAGGAAAGGTGCTTCTCTAAATACCTTTTAAAGCAAGAGAGGAGCCAGAAGTTCCTCAGGATTCTGGATTCCCCTCCACTTCCCAGACCCATCCCAGTGTCAGCACTAACAGCTGGTCCCTGAGCACTGAATGCAACATTTTCACACCCATCACTCAGCAAAAACAAACCTCCCCCCAGGATTTGGAGCCCCGAGGCCCAAGGGGAAGATGTTCAGAGTTTTATTGTGCTCTGCTTCTTTCTTTGTTAAGCAACAGGCCCCAACCTCCCAGTCATTTCTCCTGAAGGGTGAATTCAGCAGCATGTCACCTTTTTTTTAAGGTTTAACACACTCAGATCCCAGGTTTCAAATCAGTCAGCACTTCCCACAGCAAATTTGGTAAGAAGTTTCCCTCACGCTAAAAACCATGAAATCCTTTTTCACCATCCCCCCATTTTTTCCAGTAATATCCACAACATTCCAGGCAGTTTCCAAACCCCCTGTTCTTGCCTTGAGAAGTTCACAGTGCAGGCAACAAAAAGGCCATGGGAGAGGCACACCCACACCAGTGGCCTGGAAAAGAAACACCCCCTAAAAAGTCTGTCTGGATCTTGTGGAATTTTTTTCCACTGCCTGGAGTGTTATCACTGTTGGATCCCACGTTCCTGCACAGATTCTCACCTCTCCCAGATGCTGAAATAAGATGGGACAATCCTGCTGTGCCTCACTTTTACAAAGATGATGATTACTCACAAGTTTCAGTCCTTATGAGTCAGGTCCATCACCTTCAATAACTCCATTAAAACGTTCCTCAATGTGTTCTACTGTCCAGACAAAGAAATTAAAGGAGACAAAATAAGTTAATCAAACAATGCAATATTAATGTGAAGAAGTGAGTACTCACACAAGTCATTTCAGGATGGAGTTAATAATAATAAATATTATTTATGTTTGGGCTTCAGTGGGACCAAGTTAAAATGTCACTTGTCTAAGGTACAAAACCCAACGCTTTCCTTAAACCAGTTAAAAAAATATTATTGAAATTTGTAAAGTCAACCAATCTTTCATAGAGAAAACAAAAATCATAATTCAGATACCAACCCTCCCTCTCCAATAGCACAGGGGAGTTTATGCAGTGGACTGAGACTGAGCTGCAGAGTCTTGACATAATTCCTTCATCACGACAGTTCCTAAAGAAAGAAGGGGGAAAATTACCCCAGAAAAACATTCTTGCTGCACTTTGGAGATGATGTGAAATGTTATAATGTTAAATGTTATATATATTTCATTTATCCAAATGAAATAGAACCTCTGAGTCTTCAGAAAGAGGTTTTCTTGCTAGAGGAGTATTAATAATGCTGAAACAGAAGCTCAAAAAGCTGTGCAAATAAACATATTGAGAGGTTTTTCACATCTTCCAGCACCACACAAACATCTGAATCAAACATGAGGCAAGAACCTGCATAAATCAGGCAATGAAATATAAAACATTGCCCCAGTTCCAACCAGATTATCACATGAAAAGTTTAAAAGGCAAATCACAGTAATTTAATCCGTATCACTCTTTCAGAATTACGTCAGGATTTCATCCCAGGATGAAAGTGCTGGACCCCAAAGTGACATCATCAGACACTGTCAGGCATTTGAGGTCAACAATAACAATTTGTTTCCAGGAAATTCCTTGTTTAAGAAGAAAAATGCATCATATGACACCGGCAGGGGAGAGCCAAGACTTTGGTGGCTGAGAGCAGAGAGAGCACAGAGGGAAAGAGAGGGAAAAGTCACCTTGGAGTGTAACACAATTCCCAGAGCACTCCAGGTCCAGAAGAAATCCATTTACAGCCAAGAACTATATAAATATCACAGGCAAGAGAATGCCAGGACAGCAATGGGAGAAGGTGGGAAAGGAAAATGGACTGGGAAGAGAAGGGAAACAAGGAAATAGGGCTCAGGGATTCTTTGGTTGGACGAGGAAGAAGTTGGGAACGGTGCCTGATGTGGGGCACTGTGCCCTGAGATGTTCCTCACAGGGCCGGGGCAGACACTGAAATAAAATAAAGAAAGAAAGAAAAAGATTTTCTTGCTTTTGCTACTTCAGGATTCCAAATGGAAACTGGATCTAAGAAAAGGTAAATTTAGTCTTAAATAAGGGACTTGGCAGTGAAAACTACAAAGGGTGGTATAAACAAGAAAAGAAGATCTTCTTCAGTAATTAGATATTTACCTGGATAATTCCATGAGGATTCCTCCAATCCCAGACAAATTCTTGCCTGGCCCAAATCAGAGTTCCCTTCAAGCCCTATTTGTGCCCTTCTGCAAGTGCTAAAGGGCCACTGCAGCTGCTCCAGGTTTCAGGGACTTCCATCAGTGCTCTGTTCCAAATGAGCCTCACCTGGCACTCCTGGAATAGGGAAAACAAGAACAGGGAAGAGAGGGAAAATACAGGATATTCTGAGAGAACACCACGCTGACTCCTGCCTTACTCTGTCCTAATTACTGGAGACTTCTGCCTCCTGCCAGAATTGGATGCAAACCTGTCAGCTGGGAACTGGATGTGTACAGGAACCCTAAAAATCTCCAAAAAATCTCCAAAAAACATCCTCCAAAGTCAGGGTAGAGCAGAGTGATCCAGAACTGTCACATGGAGGGGCATCTCTTCACAGAGCTCATCTCCTGAGCCACTTCTGCCTGTAGAGATTTGTGATTCTTCAGCGTAGTGAACTAAAATGAAGTTTTAAAATTACCAAATTATCAAGTTGGAGGAGAACTCCTGCAGCCTCCTTCTGTAATGTCCCAGTTTTCAGTCAATTCTGTGGCTTTCCAAGCACTTGGAAATCAAGATTTTAACTTGGTTGTTGGAAAATCATGGAACAAAAATCCAGTATTTATTTAAAAACAAATCTGACTGGACTGACTTTACTCACTGATACTCTCACACTTAAATACTCACAAGCACCAAGTTTTCTTCACCAGAATATTTTATGGCTCCAGTTCAGTTCCCCATTTTCCTGGTACCTTATATTTAGGTTAGTTCCTCCTCTTCATCTGAATGAAATCACACATCGGGCACTCTCTAGGCATTAACATACCTTTCCTCTTCACCCTTGTTCTACTATTTCCTCTGGAGCCACCACAAACACTTCTTTTTAAATGTAACTCTACATAATTTTAATAAGAAAAAAAAACAACCCCTCCATGTCAAATTTCAGGAATAATTGTAGCTGCAAACAATTAGAAATTGGGCTATTAAAAAAAAAATCAGCAAACAAATTCTTAATGTATTTGTGATGCCATCACAAAAAGCACCAGATTGGTCCTTGTTGAAAAAAATAAATAATCTTATCGACTAAACATTTGTATCTTAGAACAATTCCAGACATGTGACACTGTGCAAAGAAAAAAAAAACATTAATAGTGTCTACCAAGGCTGAGCTCTGTTTTTCCAAGTGTTCCAATGATCACCAAGAGATGCTAAATTTCTTATTAGGAGAAAAAAGTCAATTTTGCTCAAAAAAAATGCACTTCTGCACAGAAATCACTCGAGCAAAACTACAGATACAGTGTCTAGAACCTGCATAAAAATGTTCAGTTCATTTGCTCAGCCCAGATCTTTGTTTGGGCGAAAAGAAATTAATTTTATGTGAGGAATAAATCCCTAACAACTCTTAAATCAACAGCAGAGCCAGGAGACAGCAAGAGGTACAACAGCAGTGCCAACACTCCTTCCCAGTAAGGACTCCTGACATGCAGATTAGTCCCACCAGGAATGTTTTATTGATCACAGCCTGTCATATGACAGTCCCTCTGCTATTTATGTACAATTAGCATCAAGTTTCATCCTGGGCTATTGCCACTTTGGATTTAATTTTCCTTGGATCAGACTGCTCGGGAATGCTTCTGCTGGACTTGTATCCCTTGGTGTGAGAGCTGTTTTCTCCTGGAATTGCTGGGATATATTTTCAATGCTGCAGTTCATCGTTTGTGCCTTAGATCCAGTGTTTTCAAAATGCACACAGGTTTAATCACATGGCAGGCAAGAGCACAGACACGGACTGGGATCAAGGGTTTTCTTTAGCTTTTCACCCCAAAACGAAGGGAATACTTTGCAGTGATAATCTCACCTGCGTTCCAGCAGCTCGGGAGGAAGGAAAGCTCCCCCCGGCAGACCCAGGAGTGATCTCAGCACAAAATGACGTGGCGGCTCTCGCTTAATGAGTCGGGCGGCTCTCGCTTAAAATGTAGGGACCGGCCCCCGACCGGGAAAGAAAGCGCTTTCTCCTGGGATGTCGTGTCGCTCAATGCCTGGGAGCTGCACAACTCCAGCCCTGGGTTGGAAAGAGAGGGGGCAGTGAAGCCCCGCAGGGAGAGGTTTAGATTTGAAGAACAACAGTTTATGGTGTATTTTAACAAAAAAAAAAAAACACCAAAACCAACAAAAAAACCCCAACAAAACAAAACAAAAAAACAAACAAAACAAAACAAAAAAAAACAAACCAAACCAAAAAACCCAAACAAAAAACCCAAAACAACCAAACAAACAACAACCCCCCCCCCAAAAAAAAAACCCACAAAAAACCCCACACCAAAATTCACATTAGTCCTGCGTGATTGTATTTTGATTTGGCCATTTCAGAGTTTGTTAAACACCAAACTCCACGGGTGGGGATCAAACATTACAAGCAACAGCAAAGTTCCAAGTGACACCAGTTGAAGGGGAGACAAGAGCCCAGGCTTTGCTCCCTCCCAGTGCCACGGAGAGTGAATCAGGATGCTTTGAATCACTGAGGCTTTTGGAAATGTTGGGTTTATCAGTGCAGGACATGCCTGACCTTCCTCTTTTTCCTCCACTGTCCCAAAGCCACCACAAGTGCCAAGTTTGGGGACCCCTGTGACACAACAGGCCCAAGGGACAGGTGTCACATTGCAATCAAACCACACACTGGGGTTGGCAGGATAGGGGGACTAATAGTTTGTATTCCTACAGGAAGGTCAAACATTAGGAATCCACTTGGAATTTCCTAGAATCATCAAATCATTTAGGCTGGAAAAGGCCTCCAAGATCATTCAGTCCAACCCAGCACTGCCAAGTCCACCATTAAACCATGTCCCTGAGACCATTTCCACATCACTGTGATGAAATTCCTAAAGAATAGGTAGGGAAGAGAATAAACTTGAGTTGTGAACGCACAGGGAAAAAAATCTGCATTGGTTCTACAACCTTCCTGGCTCCAAGGACACATAAACAACTGTTTGTTTGTTTAAAAACAACTAAAGTCAAGATATTCATTTTAGAGTTAAATGGGGGAAAAAATAAAGCTACGAGCCCCTGATATAGTAAAAAGTAAGAAAATAGAAAACTTGGTTTTCTTGGGGTGAGGGTGCAGTTTAAAAGACTGAGAGTCTTACACCCAAATGCAGATAGTTTTTTACTTTACTGCAGTTTTTCAATCTGTTGCCCTGAGCAAGATTTTTTTTTCCCCCAGACCACTTAGAGATAAATTCAGACCAATTTTTACAGTTTCTGGTGGCAGATCCCTTCTGCCTCTCCCCAGGGGGTCACAGAGCACTCCTAATCAGGACCAGTGTGCCACCCTTTTAATCTGTGTCCCCTTTACTGGCCAGGAATGGGTTTTAAGGAAAATCCACAGCCAAAACACAGTGTTGTGAAGTGCAGTGAGTCATGGGGGTGCTGAGCTGACCTTCTGCAGTCCCAAGGAATGCTAAACAAACCCCTGCGAGTCACTGCCACCCTGCCAGCCTCACACTGCCCAATTCCATGGACACAGATAGTATCCAAGGCACTCTGAGAGCAGCCTGTGCTAATATTGGCTCCTGAAGCCCATTGAAAGGAGTGCCAGAGGTCACAAACCATCTCTGGCAGCATGCAGGGAGTCTGGTTGGAACTGGGAAAGCAACACTCATTTGCCTGCTGCTTATTTCTTGTCTTTAAGGCATCTTGAGCTGTCTGAGCTTTAAGAAAAAGACTTTGCCTTCTCAGAGTTGGCCCAAGGTATTCTGAAGAGCAACAGAAGATCATCCTCCTGCTTACCTTTATTAATTCAGCATCATGTTTCAGTATCAGCTCTAAGTGTTCCATGCTGACATATCTTTCTAGAGTCAGTTAATGCTACAGAAAATCGGTGGTGATGCCACTTAAATGCAGCCAGAACTGAGAACTAGGTTTTCAAATTGAAGGGTAATTTTTCTGTTTGGCCCCACAAAAGAGAAAAGAAAGAGAGCAAGGAGATCTTCCTCTTTGCATTTTAGCCATCTGGTTGCTGAAAAAAAGTTATCTTTCCACGTGAGGTAACTGGGTGGCCTGTTAGAGAACAGGATTCACACACAGCAAGGAACCTTTTGCGGAGTTAAATGGTAGAATTTGTGCCTGAAATTTTATACAGAAGCACTGTATAAAGGCACTGAAACAATGTTTGCAGTTATTGCATAAGGTTGTCATTCTTTCCTAGATTCAGAGTTAACTCTCACAAAGCAAAAGTGTGCAAAATAGTGACACAAGCAGCTCCTAAATACCACTTTCCAGTAGCTTGCAAGACATTTGTGAAGCATACTGCTAAATCTTATCTATATAGTTTAATTTTAACACCTGCTATCAGCTTGTTCTGACCAGTGTTGTAAATCACAGTGATAACCTGAACTGCTTGTCTTCTGAATTGTCTCTACTGCAGTGACAGAGTTTAGTCACCACTTACTGATGCACTTCCCATGTACTTCAAACCACACTGGGTGCCCTGTATTTTAAAATCACCCTGAACTGACAACGTGCCCTGTCTGACTAACTTTGAATTGCTCCAGCTCTTATCTTTCCTGATATGAGTTTCTAGAAAGATGCAGCTATTCCAGCCACCATAAAAATATGTGAATGTTGTTGGTTGTATCTAAGCAGAACAGGCAAACCACTTTCAGCTTCACGACAGGACAGATTAGTGCTGGTTTAGGTCTCACCAAGTTCCCAAGACCAGCAAGTTCCTGATCATTTCCCTGCCTTATCATTGCCTTTGTAAATGGCCAGAGATCCATGGCTG